AAAGCAGTGTTGCTTTTAGATGTTTGCCCATCTAGGTGTTCTCCGAGCAACAACCCAAAGTGTACCCAATGCAGGCTAAGCAGTCTGGCTGCCCACAGTGCAAGGCGCAGGTGAACCAAAGGTGGGGCAGGCTCAGCTGTGACAGTGGCTGCAGCTGCTGCAGTGGTTTCAAGTGATAGAAGTGTTCTCAGAAAAATATGTGTTTGAAATACATTACCAGGAATGTTTCTCTTGCATCGGAATTGCTTGGTTTAATTGATTTATTGTTATTTTTGTTTTATTTTATTTTATTTGGTCTCACAGAACTTGATTCTGTTGTGTGCTTAAAATCTTCAAGTTCATTTTGGTTTCATCTAATTCTTTTGCTTCAGTTGCTTTTCCCAGTAAAACAGCCACTCCTGTGAAGCAACACATTCTTCGTGCAGAACTCAGGGAATGGCCGTTCCCGACCAGCCCCTGCCATTACCCATTTGCAGCAGGAGGCCAGGAGAGCTTGTGCCGAGAAATCCTCTGCCTCGGTGGAACAGGACCTGCCTCTCATACCACTTTGGTGGTGGTGGTGCTGGGCCACCTGTGCTTTCGCCTACTTTGATTTCTGAGATTTTGCTACCTGCCTGCAGCAAGCCTTGGCTTAGGGCTATAGGATAGAGCATGTGCAGCCTAGCCTCGGAGCTGAAATTTCAAGTTGATCCGGGATTTTTGAGGCTGCAGGAAATAAATAAGTGATTAATCGTAAGACGCTTTCTTTTTAGGAAATTTTAACTTAGAGTGGTCTGATATTTCTTAAGTTTTAAAAAGCTACAAACAGGTAGTTTGTGAGGATAGTTACAAACAGGTGCGTGTGTGAGGATGCACTTTAAAATAACTCACTAATTGTTATCTGGGTGTGCACTGACATCACGTTCTCAGTTAGTCCTTGAAGATCTTTAGGACACATGTTTCACACCCGTACACAGCAGCTGGTGCAGAGCTGTGTTGTGCAACCCATCACTTGCCGTTCTTTGGTTATCAGCCTCAGCCTGAGCACCAGGAAGGATTTCAGGTGCAGTAGGGAGCACACCAGCTCTGGCCGCACACTACAACCCGGTGCACAAAGCTGGCTCTAAGTCGGTAAAATATTTAGAGAGCAAATTACATGTGCATTGTGACTTAGAAAGGATTTAGCTGGTAACGCAGTATGTTGCTGCCTCAGTGCTGTAACGGATATATTAAAAGGCTCCACTGTTTCACTACAGCTATATGGCGAGTTATCTGCTGTATCGGGACGTAAAGCTCGAGATGGATTTAAATACTTCTTTCACAACCTTCCCAAAATACATTTTGGTTAAATGATACTTACAGCTATTAAGAAAATAAAAACCACTCTCAATGCTACATTTTAGGCTTTTGTCAAATTGACTTCAATTTTAGCAGTAAATCTACTTTTTATAAACTTTTGGATGTGAGCCCAATATACATTTTACAATTTTAAAAATGTACTTTATCTATAAATAAAGCCCCTGAAACTGATAGAGGTTTATCGTATAAAACATGATTTATTTTCAACTGCATTTGCTGCGTATTCACGCTTAGTGAGGATTCATGTTGAGATAATTTTGGAATTTCATACTGAGACAAAATACCGTTAAAATCTTAATGAAACATATCCTGTTTCCATAGGCTATAGCTACCGGGTCTTCATTATCTGTAGCTTATTCTCTCTCTTTTCAAGTAGTTCAACTGGCACCGTGCATCCAGAATCTGATTTCTATTCATAGTTTTCAGGTGCATACGTGGCAGCTTGAAAGTACTGCAAATACTCAACCTCTCGTCGTTTTAAAG